AGGATTAGTCGGTGAAAAAGTATTGTTGCTTTAGGTCATTCGAAATTATCAGAAATTTATAACGTTAAAGAGTCCGAGATGCCTAAATTAATTAAAAAATTTCAATTCAGTAATATTCGTTTAGTGTTAATTCTAATAGGCTACGGAGTTTTGATTTTAAACGTTTGTTTAACCAACAGCTACCTGAGGATTATTTTACTAGTGCAGTTGATAGTACCTAAATTTGTAATCTTATTATCTAAACTATGTCCGCATTTTAGGCTGCTAATATGATAAATCAATCCATAAACCCAAATACGATTAGCAACAACGACTATGATGGGTTTATTGATAAATGTTAAAGGCGATTCAGATGATTTCTAAATTTAGAAGACATGAAGATATAGTGTAACGTATGTGCGGGCCAGGTTAACAAACAGGTCGTTGACGTATATGACAATTTAAAAATAATGGACATGACCAGATAAATAAATTCCAAGTTAAGACTGCTTGTGAAACTTCAGGCAGGAATATGACGCGTTATAAACATTCCATAAGAAGTTACTGCATTTAACCTAGGGACACTTACAAATATATGGCAAAAGGAACCGGAAAACATATACATGTTAAGTAAAAAAAGTCATTAAGTAAAATAGTTGAACTCGCCTGGGTTATTTTTGAAAATTATATTATTCAGTGGACGACTTATATAACCCCATTCGTGAGTAGTAATAATCCAAAAGCATCCAGAATGGCAATCACTTCCAGGGTGCTTGATGCTGTTGAGATTTTTGGGACTCGCTCTGATCAGAACAACTGAATGAATCCAGATAATTGTGTGTGCCATTGAATGAGCCATCTAAAATGAACTTATGATTGCAGAAAACTTATAGCTGGAACTCACTGTAGTTTTTTTTAGAAGTGTCATCCTTGTTGTTTGGCAATGGAACTCGAGAATATGAAATTAGGCAGGCAGTGGTCGGAAGAAAAGATATTACAGGATAGTGCATAGTTGAAAACAGGATGAGGTGTTAAGTGAAGAAACACTACGATTTAGATCCAGATAACTATTCAATCCTTGAGTGCGTTGTTAGTCAATGCATATTTACGTTATTTACAGATCATATTTGCTAGAGCTTGATGTTTAAACAAGACTATGTCGCTGAAGCATGTAAATGCTATTAAAGCTTGTTAACGCACCATCAAAGCTAATTAGTTGATATAGACGACCAGTTTTTATTATCGATTGAGATAGTTTGTTACGAGAGCTAATCAACATAACATTACGACAATGCATGTGAGCATCAATCAGAAGACGATTAGAATATTGGGTTAAAATAAATATAAAATCGATCGAGAAAGTTAAAGTGAAAATAAGATTAACAATAATAGGTTGCGTTTCTTTAGTTGAGCTCACCAATGTAGAATTATGGTCTACTATGATATTAGTACTGCTCTAACAATAGACCTAATCCTAAAATTCTAGATTTGTCATGATATAACCGCCTAATCTATAAGATCTTACCTGGAAGTCACATCATCGTCTACACCAACTCACTGTATCGTAACAACTACCAATACATGATGAAGAACAAGCTTAGGCTAGAGAAAGAACAATATATTTATTATGAATAGAAGATATAAGGTAACATTCAGATGGACCACGCCTGCATGGCCGAGCCATGCCATCCGATCAAACTCCAGTCAATTTAATTCTTTCTTTGCGCCTTCTCCATCGTTAGGTATTTTTCCGCGTTAAATATTGAATATCTATTTTCTGAGTAGTCTCGTGTTCATCTTTGTGGATTGTGTGGTTATTGTTCAATGCCACTACAAGCTATCTTGAATTCATTAAGTTTGTCAGTATCTCGAAGGAAGGCTGTATTGAACCTTTGAAGTGCTGTTTGTCCAGTTTTTCTTTAGCTTCAGTTTTAAATTAGCCACAACTAGGTGGTGATCTGAAGCTACGTCAGCACCTCTCCTGGTTCTCACGTCTTCCATTGTCCTTCGGAATTTTTTGTTGATGCAAATATGATCTATCTGGTTCGCTGTAGTGTGGTCCGGTGAGATCCATGTAGCCTTGTGTATACGCTTGTGTGGAAATATTGTACCTCCTATGACCAATTTGTTGAATGCACATAGATTTGCAAATCTTTCTCCATTTTCATCTCTTTCTCCCAGTCCATGTCGTCCCATAATATCTTCATATCCAGTGTTGTCTATTCCGACTTTAGCGTCTAAATATCTCATCAGAATAGTTAGGTCCTTTCTTGGGCATTTCTCAATGATTGACTGCAGACGCTCGTAGAATTGATCTTTAATGTCATCGTTGCTATCATTGGTGGATGCATAACATAGGATAATATTCATTAAGATCCCCTCTTTCTTTGTTTTGAATGATGCTTTGATGATTCTGGATCTGTGAGATTCCCATCCTACAAGTGCAGTTCGTGCTACTTTGGACAGCATAATAGCGACTCCCTGAGTGTGTGGAGCATTGTCCTCTTCGTGACCGGAGTATAGCAGCATCTCTCCCGTAGCTAGTCTTTTCTGTCCAGCTTGGGTCCAGTGGGTTTTGCTGATTCCCAGTACTGCTAAGTTGTAACTCCCCATTTCCATTGCTATTTGACTGGTCTTCCCGATTTCCCACATTGTTCGAACGTTCCATGTACCTATAAAAATTTTTGCTCTGGTTGTTAGAAGAGGCATCGGCCTCGTGGCTTTCGAAGGAACTCGGCTTTCACTATGAAGCGTCATAATTCTTTTAAATGAAGACCTTCTAACTCCCAGGGCAGAGTTAAAATGGTTTGGATTATTTTTTCTGGTAAGCGTTTTTTTAGCGAGTTAGTTTTCTACGGGATGGGGATGCTAACCCCATGCCCAACCCTCCTCCTTTACCCGGGCTTGGGACCGGCAGTAACCCTATAAGAGCTACAAGCGGGTAAATTATTTGCAGAGACATTTAGAAAATGAAGTCACGTGTCACGTTTCCGATTGGATATTTACCCATACTGCTACTATATCTAGAATGGTCCCAGAAACCTCAGAAAGCCAAAGATTGTGTATAACTGCACAAATACCCTCGTTTTTCTATACAAAAAGCGTTCTCTTTGTATTTTGTCTCTTTTCTCCCGTGTTCGAGTTACCGTGTAGATTTAGCCTGGAGGGGGATTTTTAAAAGCGACTAGGATATCGTATCGAGCGTCTATTCAGACGGTTTAGATGCCAAAGTTGGACTTGATAGTTTAAAATAAATTGAGCGTTGGTTAGAGAGTTAATAGTAAATAAACTTTTTATATCCCAATGAGCAGAAAATCTTATTTCTGACGTCTCGTAACTTTAAAATATATAATTGCCGAATTAAATTAAGTCAAGTTTAATTAGTACAAAGGAAACAATTCAGAATATTCATTTAGAAGACTTATGATTAGGTGACTCGAAATCACAGGACAATATCTTCCACCTAAATCTTGCATTAATTGACATACTTCCAAGTGCATTTACAGTATTTGAGAAAATGATGTTCATTTGGGATTCCAACCAATACTATTTGATCATTCATTAGTAATAAACATCGTTCTATTCCCTGGTGTTGATCGAGTTTGATTGATCAAGAACCAATCATAGCTGTTGACTTATGGTTGATTATATTGGCTGACGTGTGGGAGTAGGCTTGAGAGCTAAGGGTGACCTAACTATCTGGTTGTGCTGACGTAATGTAGCAACTTCAACCGATGTGGATAGCTATTCGGTTCTACGTTAGTCATGGATGACTGGCTGTCTGACTTAGTACGAGATTTTGTAAATACTTCACACATCCATACCCACAAACGTATTCTACACTTCAACAAACGCACTCAAAATCAAACAAAAACAAAACTTTTTAGCCGAAAATACATACTGCTTTTCTTGCATCCGAATAAAAAAATAAACACGAAGGTGTACTTAATTATATTTTTAAATGAATCTAACAAATAATACAAGATAGTAATAACAATAATTGTGCAATTAATAAAACAAATGCCTTCTACTAGCAATCTCAATTATTCTCTGGTGCTGTGTGTGTAAAGTTGAAGGTGTTCATTCTTTCTCAATTACTCTACAGTGTTTTAAAAGAAATAACAATAATAATAACAACAACAAGAAGTATGATAATACCCAAAAAACGAATGTCAACAATTACATCATGAAACACACGTACTGTCATTTACATCACACGCTTATTTCACAATGACTGACTAGAAGATTAATTGCTGTTATTGTTTGTTTATTCGTGATATAGATGACAATAATGACTTTGATGTTGTACTATTGTTAATTATTTACGATTTATGTTTTCCCGTTTTTTCGCGCCTAAAAAAACAAGAAGAACAACTTCATATCACAGTAGAAATGTAAAAGAAAAGAATTCTGAATAAGGAAAATAATTAAAAGAGCATATATTTCTGTATGAAAATCAAACAAAAAAATCTAATAAATAACATTAAATCATTAACCAAATAAAATGAAAAGTGCTCTACAATTAGATATCACCATTAAAACAATAAATGAATATGAATATTGAATTTTCAGAAAAAAAAACAACTGAAAAGTATAAATACAAAAAAAATTTATTGCTAAAAAAAGAATGAATGAAGTAGGTAAGAAACGTGTTTATGCAGTAGTAATGGTGAGATTATAATTTATGGACGATTTTTGAGCGACGCCAAGGTGACCTTATGAGTGTCTACCTACTTACTAGGGATAAATGAAGGTTATAAAGCAGTTTGAAGAATAAGGATTAATCGTTAGGGTTAGGAATTACATTTACGATTTTTCATCATGGACTGACATTAGCTATAATGCCAAGACTCTATTTGGTCAGATGGATGAGTGAATTTCGCGCCAAAATCCGAGGCCTGTTATCTTATACCTGATTGGCTCGTCCATAAATCATAGTCTTACCGTAGTAATATATTTAGATAGAATGTTTAAAATGTATATTTAAGTGTGATATTCAAAGTGTTTTGAGGATATATTGATGTGTACAAGAACGGTATTTTTCTGAACTAAAGGCATATTTAAATTTATCTATTCATTCGTATCTTCTTTATGATAGTGCTGCTGCTGATGATGATGATGGTTCCAGTGGATTTGCTAGTAACCATGGATATTGTTGAAACGAATTAACAATAACTGTACTGCCCCAACGTATTGAAGATGGTAGTATATATAATAAACAGCCAATATGTTCTAATATAGGTCTATCTATCCAATATAAAGGATTGAATACATTAATTTCTGATGAATTCATTAATCCAGATAGAATATATGGCCATGTTCTTAAATATGGTGAGGCTAAAGTGAAACCAATGAATACACCTGCTACATTTATTGGATGACTCAATCCTACACTGTATAATTCCATCCCACAACCAGCTGAAAGTGTTAAGAAAAAGAAATTCATTAAAAAATATTACACTATGCATAGAAAGTTGTATAAGGAACATAAGAATTATTGGTAAAACTAAAGTATAAGGATGTACCAATTGGGTGTCGAAATGTAGTCTCAAGGCCACTGTACGTAGTTCAAATAAACGTGTTGAATATCCATCTTATCATTCTAGACTTCAACAGAAATGTAATAGTAACATAATTACAAACAAACGGGCTGATTTAGAAAACCCTTTCGTGTAATATTAATAAGTAGGTAAGACAGTAAAATATCAGATAATACGTCATACTGTACTCCGTTGCCAACTAGTTAAAAAAAGAAGTGTAAGAGCCAAGTCGGGTTGCTGCCACATACTACTTATATCTATCACCATAAGTAGAATACACCACAATGTTGCTGTTGTTATCAATTAATGACCAACGTCTACTTAGTATTGAGAACGTTGAAAACTAAAAACTATTGGACATCTGTTTTATCCTGCATTAGGACGTCTTGAAAGCACGTATAAACGGGTTGAACTCACGCTTTCACTAGTGACTAATTTTGAAAAGTAACTCCAACTCCAATGAAAAGCCGGGATTAGTCGAGTTCGAACATGTCAAGTGTAAAGTGATTACCGACCAGTGTCATCGGAAGATGGCCTTGCGATGCCACAAATTGATTAAAAATGAGCATATAAACTATCCTATCCCGAATAAGTAGTCTAAAGGTTAAGTTCTAGCTGTTAAATCTAAAAACCCTGGATTCAGTTCATGATGGAATCGTTTATGTGTACTGCTCAAGTGCCTCATATTGAAAATAAAAAGCTGTCCAGAGCCTCCTAGTTGTCTGACTACGGTATATAGCTAGTTATTAAAGAAATAAACATTATTATATTCCGATGAGAATAATGGATGGTAACTGTCAGAATCTATTTATGGACTAATATTATAGATATATTTTTATTGTATAATTGTTGAGTAACTAAACTATTCATATTTGTGTTTCTCTTATTATAAGCTTTATTTTGACCCATAGAGTATTATTATACGATTTACCATTCCTGAGTTATGTCCAGTCTATCAATTACTATCTCCCACATTCACAGTAACTTTTGGCTAAATCTTGTACAATTGTTATTTTCTATTTTATGGTACGATGTGGTCTGTCTGGTTGGCATGTAAACCCAATATGTTTGGAATATATATTTCATATCGCAGAGACTGAGATTGGTGTTCTGGAATTAACTGGCTGGGCTAGGCGGGAAACAGGACTGATAAAGACTAGACTGATCGTACTTGTTCTATACATCATTGGTCTGGTCGATAATTCATCGCTCTATAATTGGTGGTATCATTACGTTATGCTTTGATAGGGGCACAAACCCACAAGTTATAAGAAACATATGATACGGACTCCTTGAGGTATGAAAAGGATGGGAAGAGTAAGAAAAATAGTGACACTAATTCATGAAGTACCATCATAAATATCGCTCCAATTTTAATAACACTGTTTATGTGAAATTGAAATGGTCAGTGTACAGTATTCCACAAATATTTTCTTTGAATTTTTTCATATTGTCTGATTGCATTCAACGTAAATGATATGTCAGAAGTTGAAATTATTTCACTTATTACTTACTAGTTATAAGTATAGTGAAGAAGTTACCATATGATATACTGGAACATTACTGCAAATACTCTTCTATCTTGCAAATCTAATTATTATTGTATTATTTTAAATTTATCAAGTGATTACATTTTGATAATTAAAATAACTCATTATGTTATTGAACAAAAATAAAGAGAATTCAACGAAAAAAATTTTCTTTCCGACGAAATCATTCACTTAAGATGTACATTCGTATATGTATATAGTTATATGGAAAATATAGGTCTATTATCTGACCTATAAATTATTTTCATCTTTATATTCCTTCCTTACCCCTTGATTAGTGCGTAACTGCATTCGTTATTTGGTCTCGAATCCATTTTATGGTGCAATCTCTTCTATCCTCCTATAGACCTATATTTTTCATATATAACTATATATGCGAATGTACAGCTTAAGTAAATGATTTCGTCAAAAAGAAAATTTTCTTCGCTGAATTCTCTTTTTCTTATTCAGTGATTACATTTTATAAGATTCCTACGAAAAAACACCTCTCTGTAAAAAAAGTAAAGTACAGAACCAGAAAGTGTAATTACACTACAAGAATATCCAGTGAGTCGACATGAGTGAAATAATCTGAGAAATGTTTGTGACTGGGGTAATCCTATCAATAACAGTTCAAACTATTATAATTAATGGAAATGCTACACATTCTCAAAGGAGTCTACGCCGGATGACTGAGTTTGTAAATTTTGTCATTCATATCTTGTTAAAACTTGATCATAGCAACAAGTTTTCTATCCCATGAAAGGTTGCTTTGTTCAATCTTTTAGATAATTACAATAATAAACTGACTTGAGCAAGTTAATCAACGAAAATCATGGGTAAATAAACAGTGATTTCGTTCTGATAAGGTGATTGTGATCGTCAAGGCTTTTGCGCAACTAATTCACGCTCATTAGTCAATTCACGATATTCATTGGCCATTATTTATTATCATCGGTAATACTTGTTTTATTTTCTACATGTGTCGGTCCTACAAGAGTTTAGTTGCTGGCTGAGTAGATCAACGATAACATTTTAGACTATGAAAGTAGGCGACGCAAATTCGAATCCAATAGGGAAGTTTAGTTTCCTCAAGATTGCAATTATGTTTTGGTGACAAATACCAACGATCACAATGTCTATTTTAGAGGTTTTTGTAGTAAACACTTTCAACTACTCGAAATGATTGACGATTTGTTTTCATTCTTATGTGGTTTGTTAATGTACTGCATTAAATCATTCTTATGTTTTTAATTGTTGAAATTATTGTCAAACTAATTATAAAGTCTCCGATGAACCAATTTTGTGGACAACAAGACAGAGGTTTTATTAATAGATGGTACTTTGAATGAACAGCCAGCGAGAATCAATCATTTCATATCATTTCAACATTAATATAAAATCTTCTACACTTAGCAAGTGGTATGATGACTAAAATTAATTGATTTATCTCTAGTTGTTCTATGAAATAAGGTAAAATATTCTACTTTTCTGATAAATTTTTATCATTTACATTATTAATATTGAAAACAAATTGAAATCTTAAATAAAAATATAGGATTATATTTCATTTCTTGGAGTATAAGGGTGTAACTATGACAACCAATGAATTTTACCAATAAAATCAATTTTAATTTTTATATCGACTTTGAAAAATGGATATTTATGAATTTAAAAAAAGTTCAGAGAAATTATTTCTGTAACAAACAAAGAAATTAGTTCCCTTAATAAATTTTTTTTCCTCAAGTTGTCTTCAAACAAATGGATATTTTATAACTACTCTCTTTTTGTTGTTGTTGTTGTTGCTAAAATATACTATCAAGACGAATTAATCAGATCTAAGATTATCATTTTTGGATTTTTGTGCTAAATTCAAATACCTTACCATAAGCTAAGGTGTGAGGTTACTCATCTTATTTTAATGTTTATTAAAGTGCAGCATTTGAAGTTTTCAAACATTTTACCATTTATTTGTCGAGTATTGTCGGATATTGCAAAAATATTGAACATTTGAAGACAAATTTACGGGTACATCCAATCTCGAGAATAGTAAAATTACTCGTGTTAGGTTGTTAAAAGGCTCGAAAAATTGATAAACATATCTGTTTTGTGACCAAAAAGTAATTATGATACGGTATGTAAGCAACATTACAAGCACCACATGGTATTGTTGCATACTGAATCTGAAACGTTAATCATCAGTTAAGCTTACTTGATCTAATTCGGACCATAATCAAAGGTGTTTGTAGGGTCTCTCAAGGTCCCTAGCTCATTATGACCTAACAGGTGCAGAAGAGTTACTCAATTCATTGGATCTCGTGTAAAACCTTGACTATTTATTCATCCATAAGAGTTCCAAATGACTACGGAACAACACTTCGGTTTTACAGCTGTTCTTGTTTTACACCTACGAATTAAACCGATCTTCACAATAACTCACTTAATCTATTTTGAGGTATATGTGGTATATAAAAATTCAGAATAAAAGGGAATAAGATTCCCAGCATTCCTACTTATCAATTAAATTAATCAACTTACCCATTATTCGATGAAATTGCCCCCTTGGTGTAAATGTTGCACCATATAACCAGTAAATATGTCTTGGGACATATAATGTTGCTAAAGAAATAACATGAATAATAGCGATCGCGTAAATAGCATGAGTTTAAGTCAGTAAATCAATAGATTTTTCCCGATACCTAATCATATAGTAAATAATAATATAAATTGAGTGAAGTCGAAAGTACGAATTATTGGTTAACAAATCAGTGATTAAAATGGTAACACATTTTCTTCTAGGTCTGGAAGTCATGATAGCGAAACCAAATAGTTGTCTAGAACTTTCGAGTTGTCAAAAGTTATTTCGCTGAAGATGGTCTACTATATATAATATTGTTAACAACTTTTACAGGTAGCAGATAACTATCATGAAATTCAAAAATATGCAATGAGCTGTGTTTTGGTTGAGAAACGTTCCAATTTCAAACAAGATATTACTATCAATTCAATGTTGTGGGTTTTTTATTGAATTCAACATGATGCGTTATCATGACTAATTGTATTTTAAACTGTGGAGAAATTATTTCACAGAATAGAAACTATGGGAAATAATACAGAATTTTTTACTGCATAGTTAGACATCTCGTTTTCATTCAGTCGTTCTCAGTCTCTCTTTGAATTATACACAAACAAAAAATATATGTACTTACGAACATGAATAGTAGGATATAGAACTGGTGGAAGATATTTTCACCTCAGGCGGATGTTTTCGTTTTATTGAGTTCTGTACGCTAAATGTTTTAGTTGGAGAGGTTCCTTTGTCGTTAATGACAAATATCATTAGCATCTAATCCATATTGAAGATATAAATCTAAAAAATTACTGATGAGGGTTTATGATTTCTTGTCGTTGACACCCAGGACTGAATTTTGATCAGTTTCTGTTGTCATCTGAATATCTTGATCGAATCCCCTCGCGGTAGCATTATGTTACAACTTTTAGTGTATTTGAGACCTGTCAACTTTATACACCTACAACCCATTTTGAACGTTCACACAGAAACTCAAACCCAGTACATTTCATTTTAAACAGCCAACACCTTATCCACTGAGCTACTGGGTTAAGGTAGACCATAACTTATTGAACGGTTGTGAAAGCTTTAATAGGGTTTATTAATTTCCTGCTGTTAGTATTCGGAACTGCAAATAATCAGATTATGTGAAGTTGCTTCCAGTATCGTATACTGCATTGGTGTAATAACTGCCCATTTTCTCTATTTTACTACCACCACTAAATAATCGTTCGTATATTCAAAGCAATTACAGATCATTATTTTATATACTGTGATTACTGGTTTGTGGTTGTGTTTATCAGTTCTGAATTATTTCATCTTATATGTGGGATTGTTTGTACATAGACGCTCTCATTATTGGTTTGATCCACTGCTAACACTGTATGAGTCGTATTTCGATTGGTGAATAAATCACATGATAGTTAGTCGGGCTTAAAGATACAACTGTAGCAGTAATAATAGCTATGTTCTAATTGGCAACTAGTTTTTAGATAACATTGCTGAAGTTCTATACAGGTGTTAACTAAATAATAAGTCAGTCCCTAATAGGAAGAAACACACGCTTTGGATTCAACTGCTATCAATAATGCATCTGTTCTCCACAAACATTCACTAAACATTCAAAATGCTGTGGATGATCTTAGTGACTGAAATGATCCACGGTTTTCATATATTGGATAGAAAACTTGCTTCACTATTATGATTAAAATATTTGCTTCTTCTGATTAAAACCGGTTTATTAGAAAGAAAGAGCTTTGAAGATTGTTTGCTTTCACAGTATTACATTATGGACCCATCATAGACAATCACTGGAAACTGGTAAACATTTGCCTTAAAATTGAATAATGTTTAATTTACGTTCTACACAGATGGTTGGTTTTCAACATTTACTAAATGAATTGATCTTAGTTAGACCACCATTGAAAACCTGGAATCACTGAAACATCATTTCGAACTAGTATAAGACTCTTTAACAGTAGGCATTCGCAATTCTTCAGTTAGTAGTAGAACCCATTACTTTCGATCTCGTATACGAAAGCTTAGGCTTTGGAAGATTGAGCCCACCAACCATCAAGATTGACACTCCTTTCCAGTAAAAGAATAGTCAAAGATTTCATGAGAAAATCGAACTATAAAAGCATGTAAAATGTTCGTTTGTACACTGACTCAGTTTTAAAGGCCATATTATAACGTTTTAAACAAATTTCCATTAGCACTAAGAGATAGAGAGGCACAACACTCGTCATTATTTAGTAATCAACCAATAAAACTAACTACAAATAATTTGTGAATTACATCGTTTTTTAACATCTTTCATCGGCATCCAGGGTTTGATTGTTTAACTTTGGTTTAAATGTATTTCTTGTTACTAAACGCTCAATCAAGATTATAGGAAGTGGCCTGTGTGAAACGGAAATGCCAATGCAAACTTTTTATAAATATGTATTTCACTGTAATAAGTAATTAGTTGTTTATTGAACATTCATATCATAATCTAATTTATTTGGATAGCCCAAATTGACCTAAATACTAGATAACCGATTTATTGATTTCAGAGCTCAATCTAATCAGTGGACCCTACACATTTGTAGTATTATCTTAGTAAGTAATAAAGTGATAATTCCCAAACTTTTACGGTAACTCAAAAGACATCCCCATCTATTCATTATATATTAATGCTTTTAAGATTTCCACGCTATTTTAACATAAAACCCTAATAATGTTTTGCATATCTTATTTCAGTGTAATAGTACAGTTTATCAGTGTTTTTGGTAATATAAAATGACCTAAATGTACATGTCTAACAGAATTGGATTCCAAGTCAGTGGTCTGTAAGTTCAACATCCGATCTCTGATGAAGTCGTGGACGCATACTATTGAAGAGTATCATAATATAACAAAACATTTCTCCGGATATTTAACTTCAATCGTTTTGTGATCTCTATAGAATTTCAACAATCCTCACAAACCCATATACTGATAATAATCAGTGTTTCTCTGCAAAATGTGACTTGAATTATTTTAATTTGTTTTAGCAAAACTAAATGATCAAGTACAATACATGTGGAAGGCTTTAAATCACATTTTGTAATACCATGATCCGGCTGACCAAACTAAAGTGAAAGTCATTTCGAGTTCATTGGTTAAATATTCAAAAATGTTTAATTACCATATGATATTTTTTGATCAACTAATCAATGAACAATAACAAAATTACAAGAACATATTGATCAAAACTAAATTAAATACTGATCACAGTAATATTGATTTCTTGCAATTTACTAAAACAATTATCAATTTCAATGAATAAATAACAGTGGTTTGAAATTACTATTATTTTAAATATGAATAATTTTCCAAATAGGGTTGTGGAGATTATCAAGTTTTTGATTGATTGATAAGTACCATATGCTCACTAGTGACTAGGTTGATGAGGGAATCTCGGAGTTCTGGTGAGAAGCCGTGACTAGTGGAGCTAATCCGTGTCGGGTAGAGACAGTTATCTACTTCAGTGCAATGGAAGATGGTCATACAATTTCGTGGATTGGTTGAGGTCAAACAATAATACCGTTGGACGCCGGCTCAGTGGTCTAGAGGTTAAGCGCTCGTGATAGGTCCTGAGTTTGTATCTCGTGAGCCCGGTTAGTGGATGCGCACTGCTAAGGAGTCCCATACTAGGACAAAACGGCCGTCCAGTGCTTCCAGGTTTTCAATGGTCGTCTAACAGCAATTGGTTCATGATCTCAATAAAAAAATGAGTAATTTTCCCATAAAAACGTTATTCATCTAGTTAATGAATCCATGAAAAAAACTGTAACCATTCTAATATTAAAAAGGGAAGAGGAAATAATTGTTTACCGTATTGACGGAACATCAATGCAACTCATCAAATTCAAATTTTATGTACTGTACTTTAATCCGCAACAATTTCGTTAAAGGTTACAAAACAACTACTACCATTCAGCTAGTTAAATTAAGGCTAAGATGAAACAGAGTTCACCCCCCACAATAATGTGATGGAAAGTTCAGTGTTTTAGGCATCAGGGCGCCGACATGGACAGTATGATCATACATTCGTTATACTGCTGATTCATTCGAATAGCTTGTAAAGAGAAGTTTGATTTGAAGTTAGTTATTGTCTTGATAAGAATTTCCACACAAAGCTAATATGAACGTGAAATACTATGTTTTAATTATCGTGTTTTGGTCTCAATATGAACATCAACACTAGGATTTCGGTAAATCCAGCTGACGAAACTCAAATACGACAAGACGCGCGTCCTAGATCTTACCGACAGCCACAACCTATCTGCTTTTAAGAAACGTTGTGACCAGATGGTTAAATCGGAGCGAACATCACAAAATTAACATATGCCAAAAATATTGACTCAAATTCATTCCTGAATATTAACAATGGGATAATTCGGACCCTTTTCAATAATAATTTGACTGTAGTTGTAAATATAAGGGCTGTTATATATTTCGGTTCAACACCAGCCACAAGATGTAATCTGAATTTGACATTTCCCAGAGTCACAGATGTCTACGTTTAACAAACATCAAACAACCGTTTAGGTAGTTCTTAGTTTTCAATGATTTTGTGGTAGGTCTCAGTTCATCATGCAGAAAGTATTGAAAAATTTAAAAAAACAATGTGGTTTATTTTGTCGAATGGCAAAACTGATTTGTACTCGAACGGGTATTAATTAGATTTTCTACTTCACTAATGATAAACTTTTCATTTCCATTCCTCAGAAACGATCTGTTTTTGAAACTTCTTTTGCTAATCAGCACATATCAGCATGGACCGTTTGAAAATTGGAAGTAATTGATACTTCCAGTAATACTCGAATCAACGGGTCTTTAGTCGTTGCACTAGGTAACATGGATATAAATTAAATAAGGTATATTATTTTCCCTAATTTCAAAGTTACAACTTCCTAAAGAATCTCAGACTGTTCGAGCTATACCATTTAAACATTCCACAAATGCTTACCCCTCTAATGATAAGTCGAATAAAATGACCTTGAGATGATAATTTTAAATA